GTCGAATTTACACACGCCGGTTTTTGTCACACTTGCCGAACTTGTGCTCTGATATTTCACAGTTTGTACAGAATTGAGTTCTTGCGTTAAGCCGGAATGCGGGAAAGACGGCGCGTCGAATGCATCCCGCTGCAATCAATTCTATCCAATTACACAAATGTCGCATTTGCAAGTTCTGCATTGGCGCAATTCAATCGCCCAATTGTCAAGCGCGACAAAATTCTGAAGCCCTACTCGTTACTCGGTGCGTCATTAACCGTCTATTAGCTGAATCTCAAAATGCTGCCGTAACCCCCCCCTCCTCCCCCTCCCCGCGCCGTCCTACCCCTTCCCTCTCTCGCCGCTTCTCGACGTTTCTCTGCCGTCCCGCGATTATAGGCTCACACGTCAATATGTCCCTGGCCATATCGAACATCGATACCAGGCTGATGATTCACGTCTACGAATCGTGGGGAGAAAACGACGAGACGTCCCCCTAGTCCTATTCTCATTTCGCGTTTACGCTCCGGCGAGCGGAAATACCTCGAGCATCGAAATAAAAAGCCGAAGGATTTTAATCATTTGGCCCCCGTGTTCGCCGTCAGTCGTTCCTTTCTATCTGGATAATACAGTTCATCCGTGGATACAGCGACGCTGATCTGAAATTCTCGAATTCAATTCATCCCTCCCGTACTCGCAGCGTCACGAATTGAACTTAAAGAAATTACATCGGTTTTACACGGTAACTCTTTACGCCACTGCTCGCACGTGCGTTTCGTAATCTGCACGTACAGTAAAAAAAGGAAAAAAAAGGAAAAAAAAAAGCCGCGCCGCCGGCGATTATTTATGTCCGAGTAGAGTGGGAAAGTATGCGAATAAACTCGTTGAAACAAAGGGTAAGGTATTACGGATGTGATTAATTCCGTCGAGAGTATTTTTCCGTGGTCTCGTGATTTCCGCGTACGCTTAAGCCCTCGGAACGGCGTCGGATTCACGCGCTGAGCAAAATAAAAGGTATAATATATGTAATAACGATTTCCGTACATTCAAATAATAATGAAAAATTGAGAAAGTACAAAATTCTAGATACACGCACAAAGCGCGGATAGTAAGAAAAATCTCAAATTCTTTTTTATCTCGGAACAGAACGTATCTCTTTCACGTTTATTTTACGTCTGAAATAAAATCAATATTTTTTTTTTTGTTAAATTCTACTTTTCAAATTTTTATCCTTCAAGATGTCACGAATTTAAAAAAAAAGGATCCGAGATTAAAAATGAGATTACCTATTAATTTCGCTCCCTTCTTTTTATTAATTTTTTTTTTTTCATTTTATATTCTCTGAGAGCAGCGAGAGCTCACGGATTAAACCATCCTGACGGCCGTTTCCACGCGCGTGCATGTCGTAACGTATTGTTAGTCCGTCGCATCTTGGTGGCGTTATTGACAATGCCCGATGCACATGCAG